GCAGCTTGATAAACACTCTGGGCACATGTGTGTGCATGGCCAAAAACCCAACAGGATGGAGAAATGAAGAAGGGACTACAGCATGACCACACTTCATGGGGGGAAGGAACGTTCTCCCTCTGTCTCTGTCCCTCTCTCTGTAAAGGCGCACAAGTCCTGCTTACTTATTCAAAGCTGTTTAAGAATCATATCTTTGGGTCAGCAGGTGGTGTGGTGGTTAAGGTGCTGGACACTCCCAAATGGCCGACCACAGTTCAAGTCTCGGACCTGGTAGTTCACTTTCTCACTTTCTCTCTCTGTGTCTGTCTTTCTCTGGTCAAATGAAAATGACTGAATGAATAAATAAAATTAAATAATTCTTTTTTTTTTTTTTTTGGATATAGGGCACATGTGCTCACCAGAAAGACAGAGAAACAAAAATGAGAAATCATTCTCCCGGAGGGAAGGCCACACTGCAATCCCTTCTCCATTCTCCCCTCGGGATCCTGGGCACGCATGCACATGCGCCCTGTGTGAGTTTAAGCCACCGGGTCTGGGACTCAAACCACAGTCGACTACATGGGAGTCCAGAGACATAGCCATTACACCAACTGCTGGTCCCAATAAATAATTCTTTTTTTGTTTGTTTAAAGGGTCATATCTTTGGAGCCAGCATGTGGTGTAGTCATTAAGGTGCTGGACACTCCCACATGGCTGACCACGGTTCGAGACCTGGACCTGGTGGCTTGCTTTCTCACTTTCCCTCTCTCACTCTGTGTGTGTGTGTGTGTGTGTGTGTCTGGTCAAATTAAAATAAATGAATGAATAATTAAAATAAATCATTTTTTTTAAAATCATATTTTCATATAAATGAATGAATAATTAAAATAAATCATTTTTTAAAAAATCATATTTTCCTATCTCCTTTACTCCTCATACCAACACTATGAAGTATGAGGAATCAGCAGATGGCGTAATGGTTATGTTGTTGGACTCCCACGGAGTCGACTGCAGCTCGAGTCCCAGGCCCGGCAGCTTAAAACTCATACGGAGTGTGTGTGCACATGTGTCCAAAATCCTGAGAGAAGACTGGAGAAGGGACTGTCGTATAGCAATCCCCCGGGGGGTAATTTCTTGCTTTCTGTCTCTCTGGCAAATGCACAGGCCCTATAGCAAAAAAATCTCTCTAAAAGACAAAACAAGGAACCAGGAGATGGGGTAATGGTTACATTGTTGAACTCCCACATAATCAACCACAGTTTACATACTGGACCAGGCAGTTTCAAACTCACACCAGGTGTGTGTGCGCGTGTGTGTGTGCATCTCTAAAATGCCAAGAGAAGACTGGAAAAGGTACTGCAGCATGGCTATCCCCCTGGGGGTGATTTTTCGCTTTCTGTCTGTCTGGCAAGTATACACACCCTATAGCAAAAATCTCTCTAAAAAAACACTGCAAGGTAACCAGTATTCATTAGCCTCATTTTACAGATAAAGAAATTGAGGCACAGAAAAGTCAAATAACATCTCTGCAGATCACACAAGTACTCTAGCTTCGAAGACTATGTTTTTTATGTATTTGTTTAATTTAGTCACAGGGCAAGGGCACTGGCCTGAGAGACAGAGAAAGAGAGAAGAAAAGTGAGAAAGTCGGGGAGACGGCCATGCCACAATCCCTTCTCCATTTTCCGCTCAGGATTTTGGGCATGCATGCACACGTCTGGTGTGTTTTTCAACATAGTTGACATAATTTTTTGACATAGTCAGCCTATGGAATCCAGTCACCTTAACCATCACACGACGGTGTAGAGAAAACTTTTTGTCTAAGCCACAGCAAGAAACACATTCCTATATCAGCATCTAATACACACACACACACACACACACACACACGTATACATTTACATGTAAATGAGACAGTTTTAAAACAAAATAACACCATCACCATGTGCAATGCACCATGATGTTCTCTATTCTATTTCATCCTATGGAAAGATAACATTATTCAATGAATTTTGGGGGACTACATTACGTGTTAGACATTGTTCTAGGCTTTGGGGCTAAGCCAGTCAATTACAGAGACAAAAATTAGACCAAAAACATCAGAGCTGAAGTTCTCCTGAAGAGAGACCGAGTAAGATCCATGCCAAGTCATGGCACCTGAGGTGGTCATTGGGAAGTGTTATGGAGAGAGTAAAGCAGGGAAGGCCCAGGGCAGCCACATGCCACCTCATGTCCTTATCAGACCTTTCTGCCTTGGCCCCATTTCACTTCCTGGCCTACGAAGGACTGGGTGGACATTCAATTCAGTGCAATCATCCATTTATTCCGTCGATATTCATTGGGTGCTTAGGATGTGTAAGGCACTGTGGTGGCCACCACAAGGGGAGTGACATCACACTTTCACTGCCTGCTACACTGATTCCAGTGGGCTGTCACCGACAGTGTGACAACCTCTGCCCTTCCTCCTCACACGTTTGAAGGCTCTTTTTCCTAGACTGTGTGCACGTACACACATGTGTAACTATATTTATATGGGCTTACATGCATGTGCATGTACACACACATGTATATCCACATCCATTCACTTCCTCACTGAGGAGGTTGTAGACAGAAGGGAGGGCCCCACATGTAGCTGTGCATGAGCTTACCCTACAGAGGGGGCCTGGAATGAGGCCTGAAATACAGCCCTGCACACCATGCACCATTCGTCAAAGCCATGAATGCCAGATAGTGCCCCAGTTGGGGTCTTTAGTGCGGGAGAAGGAAAATCTTTTTCTCACTGATCTATCATTAGCCCAGAGGCAGTGCTGCTCCTACTTTGCATCAACGTGCCCTGTGTGTCCTTAAGGAGAGAGGAGACTACTCAGAGAAACAAAATTCACTCCCTGGGGAAAATCCAGTGCACTGGGCACACCTGGCCCGAAGACTAATATGGTTCTGGGGAGGGTTGGGATTGGAGCTAGGTCTGAAGCAGCTGGGGTCCCTTGGGTAGCCTCCACTGAGAGCATTTGGAACTTGGCACTAGTACCAGATCTTCAGACTCTTCCTTTAAGTTAAAGGAGCACATAAAAATGTTACTAGCATGGGCGGCAAAAGCATTACCTATGGGAAAAGCAGGCAATCTCTTCTAATGAATAAGGGTAATTGATCAAAACAGATGACTCGATGGACCTTCCAAATGTGCTTTTAGCAAAGCGGACAGTTTTTCATTCAAATGCAAACTCAACCAGATAAGATCTAATAATGGAGATTTTGGAACAATCCCAGCCATCAGTGATTTTTTTTTCCCCTTCACTGAGCAGGAAGGCATCTTAAGTTCCCAGCTGAAGCCTGACCCAACCAGATATACCCATGAGTGTTTTCCTTGTGGCTGAGGAGACTCTGACCACACTCAGATGCAGTAGAGGGGCAGTCACATGCCACCCCACATCCTTATCGGACCTTTCCGCCTTGGCCCCATTTCACTTCCTGGCCTATGAAGAGCTGGGTGGACATTCAATTCAGTGCAATCATCCACTTGTTCCGTGGATATTGACGGGGTGCTTAGTATTTGCAAGGCACATGCTGCCCACCACGAGGGGAGTGAAAGAGGGCTGAGAACAGGCCCAGAGAAAAGGCAGATGTGAGGGGGAACCACAGAGGACAAAAGGCCAGAGAGGTTTCAGCTCACCCCAATGAGCAGTTAATCCTTCTGAGCTTCAGTTTCCTGCTTTATCAAATGAAGGCACTGGGCTAGACATGATCTCTGGGCACTAGGCCAGCTTCCAAACTCCCATCATTCTAAGCCTTCCCCTACCTCGCAGGCTCCCAGGCTCCCAGGAAGCTGACAGATCCCGGGCAGCCTTCTAGGAAGGGGCAGAGTCAGCTGGGGAGGTGATGAGAATCAGGAATCCTTTCTAGAAGGAAAGCCTATTTCAATTTGGCCAAAGCATAAAATACAGGATGAAGATGCAGGCTGAAGAAGATAAGTTTTGAAAATTAAATGAAAGGTTTAGACTTCCTCACTAAGGACTTATGGGGAGGGAAACGGAGAGCCACAGGAAGGGTGCAGAGAATGGCACTATCAGAGTGGTGTGAGGAATGTGGCAGACCTGGGCTGGAGGGATGGGGCAACAGTCGAGCATACAGGCTGAGGTGTGAAGTGAAAGCGTCCTCCCTCGGCCAGTCCACGCACACCATTTCATCACCCTCCGCATCGCCATGACGCTGATTTTTATTAACTCACCCAAGCCCCAAATCACTTTAGACTACCTTTTTTTTTAAGTTCCGCAAATGTAATTATCATCCCTGCCTTCTTCCCAGATGCCTGAGCTTAAACAGGACCACCTGCACGGGAGGGGTGTCAGCAACCTAGGGGGCGGAAATGCGCGGGTCTGGGATCAAGGGAGGGGTGCGCCCACCTGCAGAGAAGCTGTCCTCGTGGTCTGAGCTGTTGTGGCTGCAGTCGCTGCCCCTCTCCGGCGAGCTGTGACTGGGAGAGTCCTTCTCCGGCACCCACAGGAACCTCTTGCGGCGCCACGGCGGGACATGCTCGCGGGCTCCACGCCTTGGGGGCTCGTCTGTGGGCAAGGTTGGTCCCCGACTGTCCTTAGCCTCCACCTCCAGGTGCTCCAAGTCGCGGCTCCCGCGCTGCTGCCGCCGGCCCCCGGGGATCAGGTGCATCCAACGGTAGGGGCTGCACGCCCGCGCCGGCTTCTCAGCCTCATCACGGGTTCCAAACCGGCAGGGGGCCACAAGCAAGTGGCCGAGGACGAATTTCTCGTTCAAATCCACCATCTCGAAGTCGTGGTCACTGCTGTCGCCCCCGTCTTCTGCGCCCGAGGCGTCTGGCTCGCCCTCCTCTGAGCTCCGCCCCGCACGGGTCCCTGAGGACTGCTCCTCTCCCGGGGCATTGGGAACCCTGCCATCGTGGCTGGGGGACGCGCAGCCCTCTCGGGGCCTGAAGAGGAGGCGAGGCTGCAGGAACTGCTGGTGGATGGCTGCGGTCAAGCTGCGCACTGCACCCCCTTCCCCCGCCGCCCCAGGCCAGACTGGAAAGTCTAGGCACACTCGGGGGAGCCTCGGCCTCGGCCACCACCTCTGGGTCCCGGGGCACGGGTCCCGAGGGGTCTCTGTCGCCCGCGGTACCCTCCTCCACGCGCGATGGTGGCGCCTGCTCTGGCCCTACGGGCTCCGACTTCGCCCTCCCGCGCTGCCCCCGTCTCCGTACGCCGGGCGCCCGCGGCCGAGGTCTGGCTTCTCCCCGGCGAGGGCCGCCTGCAGGTATGAGACTTTGAACTTCTCCTCCGCCAACACCTGTTGCAGCCGTTTCAGGTTGAGTTTGCAGCGCTCCAGCTCCCGCTCCATGTCCAGGACCGAGTCCAACCTCATGACCGGCGCCTCCTCCCCAGGGAACTCGGCCTGCCAGTGGCGCTCAAACTCCTGCGGGTCCCACATGCTGGGCGCCCCGTCGGGCCTCCCCGGCCCAGCTCCCGCACGCCGCCGCCGCCGGCTGAGGTCGCGCCGGCTCTCTCCGGGAAGCCCGTGCTGGCGCAATCGCCTGCCCCTCACTTCAGCCACGGAGGAGAAAAAGAGAAAAAATAAAGTTTTTCCCCTTCCGCCCTCGTGCCTTTTTTCTTCTGGGTTTCGCCTCCCTGACGTAAGCGGCTCACCGCAGGAGGCGCGGGGGGCTGGGGGGCG